TTACTTCGTTATTAGCTGACAATGAGTAAAACTGACTTTGGAAACTTTTGTGGATTAATTAATAAATTCTTACCTAGGATGAGCACAAAGAAGATCCTGCTCATAGTTGAAAGGGCAGTCCTCGCTCAGCGCACACCCGGCGATTACTCTCGACGGCGATTCGGTCGTCTGTAAGGTCAAAATCTGTAGTACTTCAGTACATTAGTGGTACCGTGGTTCGATATCGTTTCACACTTTGCTGCCTATGTGGAACAGTGGAAGTCGCCCTTGTGATCCATTCCTTTTACAAATGCTCAACTTCAGTTTTTTTTCTGTTTTTCTTCGCTCTACTAAATGAACTGACCAACTTCATTCAGGTTAAGTTAAATGAGCTTCAAAAACGCGTCTGGTGGGACGCTGTGATCCGTGAATGGGTCACGGCGGCCGTTCTTGAATAACACACCGCCCACGCGGGTAGAAAAGCGAAAACGCACGGTTTCGTTAATGTTTTGAACTTCAGAATACTTATATAGGCGACGCTAGAAAATCTCATTTTGAAACTTACTGTAGTTTCGATCCACTTCGGCTGATTCAAATTTGGATCCGGTGGCGGACGCCATGAGTGCGGACTCGTTACCCATTCAACAAACGCTGATGGAGTCGTGGAAGGCGTCTTGGTGAAGTAGACGATGTTGTTCGATTCAATAGCTGACTCCACTCTGAAATACTAGAGTGAGAATTTCTTAGCAAGTGTATGGTTCTTGGTACCTAAAGCAACTCTTTTGAATATGTCACGTACTCTAAATGTGCTCGGTTTCCCGCCTGGAGGTGCCATGTTTGTAGGCACAGATACCTATGCGCAGTGAAAATGTATTAGGTTGTTCGGAAAGTAATGCGGGTTTCGAGATGCCTTGCATACTTGGAATATTTTTATACTGAAACTTCCTTTGAGACCTGAAGCCCTATATATCATTGGCAAGCATATTCCATCTTCTTTCCTACAGTATATTTGAGCTCCAGGGGTTAAAGTGAAGGTGTCAAGACAGTGGTTCGGGTAAGTTTTCTTCAATGTGCTGAAACTGTGAGACAGTGTTCCTTAGACCTGTCAAAGTAACAGTGAAAGATGAGGGCACGGCCTTCGGCTCCAAAGTTTTGGTTTAGAAGAATTCCATAGTGGAGTTGAGGGGAGTCATGAGCATGCTTTTGCTGCTTGACGACCTTCTGAATATTCCCGTAGAAGATGATTCCAGTCTAACTGTGCTATAGCAAGCAGTAGGACCAGAAGTAGGTATATTGAAAATATTGTGGCTCTTGAAGGTAATTGGAGAGGTGAAAAAGCTGAACAGGTGACTACCGTGTTTGCTGGACTCGAAGGCAGCGAGCAACACCTTCTGTCCCAGAGGTCGTTGTTCGAGCGGTTTTTCGCAAAAAAAGTATGCTGATGTGGTAGTCTTGTAAAATTTAAAATCTTTGTATATAGATATTGATCTCGTGTGGTGGGTGCAGAAACGATATTTAAACTTCTTCATTACTATCTGTAAGAAATGAACACGAAGATCTTGCACTAGCTTGTAGGTATTTAAGTCATATTCAGAAAGAGAACTATACATAAGTCGAAAGTTCGAGCGGGCCTCCTAAAAGTGGCGGGTCCGCAGCGAAGGAATGCCTGTAGAGCACACCCGCGCCGCTCGCGCTTCACACCCCCTCTTGGCGTCTGACTCCAGCCTTAAAGGAGGATTTTACGATTAGAATGGAGGTCGAGGAAGAAGTAATTCACCTAGTTGAGTAACCCACGGACCTCCTGAGGGTGCGAACTGATGCGCAATTCGCATCGAAAAATTTGACCTCGGCGACCTATTATGCCTCAAAGTTGGCGGGTCTGGCGATCTCCGCCCACCGACCAGCTGATCACTCGCCGCAGATCTATACGTGGGATTGATTAGATAGCAGAGAGAGCGTGATGTTGAGAGGGCACAGCGATAAGAGTCGCATCAATGCGCAAATCAGCGGGGAAGGAAGGGGTCCCATTTCTCGGGTTCTGGGCCGTTTCTCATGGTTCTTCCTTCTTTCGTGTACCACTCACCATCCCTAGGTTAATTTGAAATGGGTTGCTTTCATCGTGAATTCGTCCTTTAAAAGGCGTTAGTGTGGAAAGAAGGACGAGCACCGATGGAGTCTTAATCCAAAATTCAAGAGATGCAAAAAAAGGGTCCGAATATCTCGAATTTTGGAACCGTTTCCCATGCTTTTTTTCATTCATGCGCCTGCATACCAACTGATCCCACCTCTACCTGACTTCTCATGATTGCTTTTCATCGTGAGAGTGTTCCGCCTTTATTCTCAGGCAATGTTTCCAACTGGCCAAATAGCGGTCTACTATCAACACTAGTTTTTCTGCCCAAACCCGTGATAGAGGTTATGAGGTCAGATGTGGTATTATGGAGAGAATGTGTACGTGATTGTGTGGGGTACAATCTCTTATCGAAAGAGATCTTTCGAATAGTGTATCTTGTCAGGCTGCAGTTCTGATGTGGAAAGCGTTGAAAACCGTGATGGGTAAAATGTTTAGTTTTTTTTTTGGTTTGTGGGGGGGGGGGGGGGGGATGTGAGAATAATGCTTGTGATTGATGAATCACTGGTGATATCCAGTCATGGTTAGTTCTCCCATGCACTTAACGCGCTGACTGCTTCTTAGACCCCCTGAGCTCCCCTCCACTTACCTTGTCTTAATAGTCTTTGTACTTAAGATTGTCGCCTAAACAGACTTGATCATTACACATTAAGCGTACGCCGCTCCGTCACCGCGTGCCAGAAATTGTCAGATATGCGGACATCTAGTTTTCCACCATTAAAGGAAGGCTGATGGTTTTTGGGCTAACAACAATTTGTCTCCATCCATAGAGATTTAGGCTCGGAGATCTCATTGGAACTAACCCATTATGCGAGTTCATCCTTTCTGGCATGTTAGCATTCGGATACTCGATATTCCTACCGTAATCAGCTATACCACCAGGTTGACGTTCCGGTCCAATACCAATACCATACTGAAGATTCTGCAAATTCTAATCGAATTCTTGTATTTACTCGTTCCGCTCACTGTGTTTGGGCACACGGCGGTATATACCATATCGGGTCTTACAATTCGTGTCAGTTTCCTTCATCCTTCTCCGATTCCATCTCGTGATCTGAATCCCGCTCCAGTTTCGAGACGGTTGTCCTCGCAAAGTTCTTAATCTTTTTGTTCCCTACTTTGTGTGGGGCTTCGATTCCCTTCCTCTTTGCCTCTCTTCGTTCCTCCCGCTTTCCTTCTTTTGCCTCTCTTCATTCTGTCGAGCTATTTGTTGCTGCCTTTCGTTTTCTTCCCTCTCCTTCTTTTGTCTCTCTTCGATCTCCTGTGCTATTTTCTGCTTTCGCTGACGCTCCTCCTTCTCCTTCTTTTGCCTCTCTTCGATTTGCTGAGCTATTTTCTGTTTCTTTTCTCGTTCTTCCCTGTCTTTCTTTTTCTTCTCCTCAATTTGTAGGTAAACCTTCTGCTGTCTCTCCTGTTCTGCTCTTTCCTTCTTTTGATTTTCCTCTCGTCTCGATTTCCCAGTGCGATTGTCGCTGCTTGCTCTCTCTCCAATTCTTCTCTTTCCTTCTTTTGTTTTTCTTCTATCTGTCGAGCCATTTCCTGTTGCCTTCTTCTCTCCATTTCTTTCTTTCGGTCCTCTTCAATGAATTCGTGCTAATTCTTTTTGCCGTTCTCTCTCTTTCCTCTCATTCTTTTCCATCTCTTCGAGTTGCTGTGCGATTTGTCGCTGTCTCTCCAGCTCCTCCATCTCCCTCTTTTGCATCTCCTCGTTTTGACGAATCTTTTCCTGCAGTCTCTCCCATTCTTGCCTGTCTTTCCTTAGCCTCTCTTCGGTCTGTCGGGCTATCTCTTGTTGCTTTGCTCTTTCTTCCTCTTGCCTGTCCACGATTTGCTGGAATACTTCATTTTGTCGCTGCTTCTCTAACCCGTATTTTGTCGAGTTTCATTCGTTTTTGCAGCTCTTTTGTATGCTGTGAGAAGGCCGCCTGGTCCTCCCCAAAGTTGTTTCTTCCCTCAGGTCTGTTGGCCCTCAACATTTCCACTGGAGTCCTGCTAGCCTCATTCTCCTCTTTAATGCCATCGATTGCTACCTGATGAGCTTTGACCAGTCGTAGTAACTCATTCAGAAAGTATTGCTCGGTTTCCTGATTACCAGCCTGTTCAACAGTTGCAATGCCCGCTGGTGTGAATTCTGGATGTGTTTCCGCCCTTGGTTACTGTTACAATTTTGTTAGCTTGTTTGATTAGAGCTTGTGTCGAATGATGCGATGTTCTCTCTGATTCCATATGGGACCCATGGTTTCCGGGTACGCGTACTGGGTTTGTTGGCCGACGGCGTGCTGACCCATGGTAACCTCTGTAGATGGCCACAGAGTGGGATGGATGAGCGGAGCGGTGGCAAATGTCGCGATTTTACGATTCGGTGGTGTAAATACGGGACTGTACGGCCTGGAGGCGATCGTGCGAGGTTGAGGGGATTGAGGGGGTGCTATTGTGGTCATCGGAGAGTAGCACAGTTTGGGGCTCTTGGCGGATCGATGAGAAGAAGTTGGAAGTGCTGTGGTAGTATGCGAAACCGGCATCGGGGTGGTGGTCAATAGACGGCCTTTCGTTTTTGGACGTGGCCGTTTTGGTTTCCGAGTTGAGAAGATGAACTCCTCGGTGATCGGTATGGCCTCCTCTTGAGTGCGGACGACGCCGCGTCTGAAAAAAAGCCTTTGAAGGCGAGCATTTGAAGTAAATTTTCAATTTTTCCAAAGTAGTGCGACAGTAAAATGGTTTTTCTTTAAAGAAGACGGAAGAAAAACGCCAGGTTAGATCGTAAGTGTAGTAGGACACAGAAAGGAGAGTAGTTGAGGTGTGGGTCGACCTTTTCGGGATACCAACTGGACCAGGGATTTCCCGTCTTTGAGGTGCCTTCGTAGGATCAGACTTCCGAACAAATAAATAGTTGATGAGAGTATATATGATGGCCCTCGACTCTCTTTGGATCAAAAGTGGCCTCAAAGTACGGTTCGCGATTAAATGCTTGAAGCGATTCTCTTGTTGAGCCAGGTCGCACAACCCGTAATCACCAGGAGTGGTGGTATACTGTCCGACTTAAAAATACGCGATAAGGGAGCCAATTCCTTCGCTTGACCGCTGCGACCGCAGCCATACTCCCTTTATCAGTTTTCATGCCGTGAAGCCTGCGTCCTGTCGCGTACAAACTTCGCGTCTTCCCTCTTCTCGTATCGCTTTGCTACTCTCTCCGTTTCAGGTCTACTTCATACACAGAAGAATCAGTGTTTTTTATTGTGGCTCGCCTTTTTGTCCGCTAGCGTTCCGCTTCGCTTTACTTGTCCAATTTTTGAACAAAAGATCACAACGATCCGCGCGTCCCATGCCTTTAAGGCACGCGATGCAGCTGCCTAGGTGATGGCTGTTGGACTACAAATGAATGCGGATCTGAATAACTGATCAACAGTGACGAAAAACCGTCCCCTTCTACGTGTTAAATGTGCGAGCATGCGCCGTCCAATAAGAAGGTCGCAGCTTCCGTTTATGCTGTCATCGTGAAATGGTGTTGAGTCTCTCAACGGGTACTTTTACTTTCTTCATTAGTGTACAGCCAATTTCTACACATAAGTTGTTGGACTAAACTCACACCTATGCAATTGCATGACAGTCTACAGTCAACTATCTTTGCTATCCAGGACAAGCATGTGAACAAGGGCCAATCTAAAGCACAACCTTAATGGCAGAAAGTCGGAATAAACCGATTTCTTCATTCTGTGGGAAAGATCGCCTAACACAAGGTGTGCACATCGTGCAGCTGGGAAATGCGCCTAAGCAAGCGCGTTTACGGCATCGCAAGAAGACAGCTTCATATCCGCATTCAATCCTTTTTTCCGCCCTGCAGAAGGCTTTCGTCTGGCCCTCTCATTTGTTGCCATCTCTCCCCGCTCTTTACTCTCCTCATCTCCACGCCCAGTCTGTCACTGCAGAAGCACGCCAGCATTGCGAAAGCGAGCAAGCCTTAAAGCAACAGTCCAGGAACGAATTTGCGGGCCAAAAGCACCTATATGGAAGTTGTAGGTGAAAAGTGGTCGAACGTAAAGAGAAAAAGTGAAGAAAACGCCCAACTGGGGCTTAGACAGGGACATGCCCTGCCGTTTAGGGAGACGTGTGTTGGACGAGTTGTCCGAACCTGCCCGTAGTACATGCGCTTTAATTGCAACTGCTGGCAAATAGCTGCATGCTTGCAAATACATAACTATTTGCCAGCAATCGAAATTGAAGCGCTTCAATTGCGTTCTTATGGAATCGACCTCATACAGCGCGGCGGTCCCGCAACGACCGCTAGTCAAGCACGGACTCTGCACAGCGTATGTTGGGCGATCCGCCTCTTTATGGGTGATCCGCCCCCTCCAAGGACTTCGACCCCTTCCAGCGCATTTTAGAGGTAGGTTTTGAACTTAAAGACATTTCCTATAAACTTTAGTTGGGCTGGGGCATGTTTTGACCGCCTAATGACCAAGTAGTTGAAACCCTGCCTGGACTGTTGCTTTAAAAGAAGCATTTTCGATTCTTTATTCTTTTTTTCACGTGCTGTCCCTTTTGCTTTCATTATTTTCATATTCATGTGGCGATAGAGCAGCAACCAGTTTGATCCTGGGCATGACTCGAATGCGGATGTCGCTTAAAAGCTAGTCAAAGCCTTTTTGACAGTAATGCTAAAGCCGAATCGGCTCTAAAGTACGTGGTATTTAATACTGGGCAAAAATTGTTTTCTCACCAAGGCCATTACACCGTACCAGTCACTATTACAGCCGATGACTTCTTTAGATCAACATCGCTACGCCACGAAGCCCTTTACATCAAGCACTCCCTAACAGCTTACGCTAATTCAGTTACATTTTAAGCATGGAACTTTAATCTGATATATAAAATAATGGTTTGAATAAGAGGAACTCACATCTATCAATTTCTGTTGAAAAGGTGGTGACGATAGAGCTGCCATCTCCTTGCATACCTGAAGATTATCACTTTAGAAGTTCAATCTGCTGAAAATTGAGCTATTGAATTATCATTTTGCAGAGGGAGGGAATTCCAGGGGTCGTGAACTATTTTGCTTCCGCTCTTACCTCGGAGCATCCTCCTCTTGTGAAAGCGGAAATTGCTGTAGACTGTAATTACTGTAGAATGTAAACATCGAGTCCTTCAATAGAGGAGGGGGGTGTCTGCTGTTGTTTTCCAATTAATCCCCGCGCATCCGTTAACTGGTTGAACACTGTTTTGCTTACTGCTTATCACCCACCCCACACTGTTGGCAATTACAGGGTATACGCGGCATGGACTGTTGGCCCCACCGCATACAAGCCTAGCTGGGATCCACGGCGCCCTCGTCCGGTTGGCATTATCTGAATGGATAGGGGGGGGGGGAGAAAGTTGGTCCTTTTGCGGCTCCAGGAATGGGATCGTATCGAAGAACCCTCTAAAGCTGATGGGCTGGTGGGAGGTCTTTTGGAGACGGAGGGTGATGGTCGTAGAATTTTGAGAAAGTGCAAACGCGACGGTTTGACTCTGACTGGGCTTGACCCCAAATACCTCCCAAAGAACTCGAAAACACGTAACAATATACCAAGGATTCTGTTTCATTTGGAAACCATTGGATACAATCGGAAGCGCGCGCTTACCTTGGCCATGGGATCGAAAAGAGCCCCAGGCATACACGGAACTATCCAGACACGTCCGTTTGGACCACATTGTCGATAACGCGACGGTTCTCCTCTGAGCGGTTGTAGGTGCCGAAATGGGAGGGGGTAGAGATGCGATCGCATCGTTCCCGTGTGAAGACGACGTCAGCGTTGGCTGAAAATAGGGGGATTCTCGAATTGCTCAACTCATTGACTTTCCTCTCATTCACCACTCTGGCGATCAACGTTTGACGTAGCAACGCCACAGTTGCAAACACATAATGACAGCACTTGACAACTTAGGCCGTTGGGTGATCGCCAAAACAGGTAAATATTGACTCCGGCTACCCTTTATCCCCGTAAAGGTCAGCACTTTGCAACTCTGTAGAGTTCAGTAGCGCGTTGATGAGTTCAGAAACTCTGAAAATCTGTTTACACGAAGCATATTCTTGTCTGTACGAAGTCAAATTTTTGCGTGCAAAAATATTTCTTGAGATAATTATACTTAATTATTTTATCAGTTATCGAAATTGAAAAAGAAATCGCTGAGTATATCGAATTGTTAGATGGTAATGGCAAGCTCAGTAGTGCAGTAGGGACCTGATGAGTGTGCTTTTTGATGCGCATGATCATATCTGATGCTCAATTCTGCAATTGCGGAATATCTGGCTATGGAAAACAAAGTGTATTTACTTTTTTATGACACGGTTAATTTTGTACCTTTGATGAATCACTCATCGGATTTTGGGCTACGTTGTGAATCATTGTTGTTCCAACAAAGTGACAACCCAACATGTGTGGGATGCGCATGGCGTATCGCAGATGATTCGCCAGAGAACGAAAGCTTTGTTCGTTTTTCCCCTCGTATTTTTCCGTCTGCTTCAATTACAAACATATGAAAATCTGAGCTGCAGGAAGGGAAGTGATGGAATATTGGGTAAGAAATTATGAAAGCTCGAGCCAGTGCAGACGAGAGACGCCGTGCTGCACCTGATTCCCAACCCCTCGTGAATCCGTCAAGTCCTTCACCCTTTCGGTGTCGGTCAGTCGGAGTCAGGCTTCTTTCTGTAGATGAAAATTGTGAAAAGCCTGACATCAAGGGGACCAACCCAACCTTATTGTAGAGACCGACTTTCTGCGCTTTTCCAAAGAGCTGTAGCTCCTACTGGAATCCTGTCCCGATAGATCTAATATTAAAGATGCATCAATAAGATTGTTTCCAATAAACAACTACCATTAGCAAGAGGAGAGAGTCCAAGGGAGAAGTAGAAATAAGGCTTTCTGGAAGGCCCGCTGGAAGGAAACTCGCCTATTTCTGACAGTAAGGTATGCCATTGTTGTAACTGAAATGTAAAGTTCATTGTCTAGATAATGATATAAGGATCGCTTGTGAAGCCACCGCGGTCGTTGAGTGAATTTCAACCAATTAAGCATTACCGAGGTTCCGGCAACATTCAAATGGTGCTAGAGCACTTTACTTCGACCCTATGACACCACAGTGGTGCACATGTGTGTCAACACAATGTATCACATGTATGCATAACAGAAAGGATTAGGATCATTCAAGGCAAGATTTTGATGCTCAGCAAGAGCAACGTTTTCGGATATTTTCCCGTTTCTGCAAGGGGCTAGTATACGTGGCGCATCCTAGAGGTGCTTATTTACGCTAACAATTAGTTTCTGATTTGTTTGTTTGTCAATTGCTGTTTTAGGTCCGTATCTCGAGTTGCGGAAATTTTTTGACGAATGCTGGGTTATAGGTAGAACTCACTCCCAGAATCACAAGCAGATCTGCATCCTTGCCACTTTTACTACATACTTTAAACATCAGATTGCTGAGAAGCGAGAGATGGGGGTTCGTTCCTATTAGGAGGCAAGAAGTTTTGCGTCGACCGCTCGATAATCTAGTGGAAGTAACTAGAGAGTGACTAATTATAAGTGCTAACTTTGTTTTGTTCCCTTTTTCGACCTTGGCTATAATTCGCATCTGAAAACTCAGGGTAGCACTTGAGCATTGGAAGTGACTATAATCAGTTGAGATGTGATGCCAAACTCCTTTTTTTGCTCTAAATTTAAATTTTGTTCCGGTTACTTTTATAAAACAAATGCTGAAACGGAGGTAAGTTTTCTTATGTCGATCCGCGCCAAGATCACTGAAGGCGCTAAAAATCGTTCGTCTCAATTGAATATTTCCTCAGTAAGTTTTCTTATGTCGATCCGCGCCAAGATCACTGAAGGCGCTAAAAATCGGTCTCAATTTGAATCTTCCCTCATTTTTTCCGCTGATGAGAAAAGCCGAATGCGTCCATTTTTACCGAAAACTCGAGATCGACGATCGTGCTGTTCGTGGGAATATCATTGTTGATCGGTGTGGTTTTAATGCTCTCAGCGGTCACACAAGGGGAGGCTCGTTCGATTTGCTGTTGGGAATATGTGTGTAGAGCGAGAATGAAAAAGCAAACAGAACATGTTCACTGAACGGCCGAGCCACTTCCCACCCGGCATCCTTGGAAATTACAAAAACACTCAAAAAGAAAGCGTCAAGCAAATGATGTTTTGGAAACCTGTTCACAGTAGGAGCTGAGCAAGCAAGGCGAGATTCGGAACGAAATGGAAGTTGTGGAATTGACTTGCTTGAAAAACATTTGACTGGGTTGGTGCCGAGGCTCCACGAAAAAAGGATTCGGCGGCTCAATATAGGAAGTTTTTTAGGATATCGTGATAAAACTATAAGCCGCGTTTTCAACGCCAGGCTGAATCAGGCCGCCCCACACTTCGGAGAACTCACCGAATTCTGGAAGGACTTTCACCCATCCAAACCCAATTGATTGATTTTGAAACGCACTGTAGTGCCAGAATCGCTATCTTTAACATCAACTGGTGGGTATTTGATGGTAGGATAATTGTTGATTTAGTGTCGTTTGCGATTATGAGCGGGAGTCGAGTGTGTGGCGTATCCCTGGATGGTTTAACAAGCGTCGGAAATTGACACATGCTCCACTCCATGGCTTTTTCCTCAAAAAGTCTATGCGAGCACATTTGTTCTGAAGCCTCTCAGTGGGTGACAGTTATGGGTTTAAGGGTTTATAAAGAGAATTGTTATTTAAAAATCATTTAATTATTGGCAGCTAAAAAGAAGCTGTCGAAGAAGAAGGCTTGGAAATAATTTTACCTCATAACTGTTATATTAGAAGTTTAATCTCGAGAATCTAGGCGCTCTAATATCTCAGAATCTCAAATTAAATTAGAAGGAATTATAGCTGTCGAGGAAGGAACGAGCAGAGCCTGCGAGCAATCATTCAAGACTAAGGATGGCTGTGATATTGATCACAATGTTCGTCTCCATTAATGCCAGAAAATTACTGTAATTATTTCAACTTCTTAGCTATTCGACACTGCATGACGTATTCATGCGGCCTACGTCTTTTGATTGACTTTTTGTTGAACAAATATACTGCAAAAAACGTGTAAACATGAGGGTCATTGGTCATTTTTGTTTGTTCAATGTCCCTAAGCTTGAGCATCCGAGCCGCCCTATCGATGTTCGTTGTGAAATCGCTGGATGAATAGCGGTTCAAGAGGATGCGCCAACGGTTTTCATTTCATCCCTGAATAACCTGAAAATCCGGACTGATTTGACAGGATACAAGAAAGAACATTGGAACAACTCGCGAAAGATTTGCCTTCTGCTTTGAACTAAATGAATCGTTCGAAACATGAAGTGTAGTTACTCTGGCAATGAACGGCATAACAGAATATAGTTTTCTAGCCTAGAGATTTTTAGGCTTCTGGGAGTCGCTTTGAAGTATTCCGCCAGTATGGTTCCATCTCGCTTACTGTTTCGTCCAGATACGAAAGCTAATGTACTCCCTCCCCCATCCTCTCCTCCTCCCCTCCTCACATGAAAAGGATGATGTTCAGGTAAAGTTGAAGATCGGTACGATTTGTTATTAGAATTTTCACTAGAGGAGTTCTCATTATCATATGCTGTGAACAGTTCTGGAATTGAACGCTGTGCAGCTTTCATAAGTAGAGCATGACCATATTCATGCTACACCCACCATCGCACAGTTTGGTGTTTCAACGAAAGAAGCTTATTAAGAAGATTCAGAAATTTTGGAATGCGCCATGCATTTGCACTTCAGTCACTAATGCCAACGTGGATAAAGTGTGATGTTAGATGGATACATACTTTGTCACAGTGCTAAGACAAGCGATAACTGGCGATGATCAAGTTCACATATGACTGGGCTGAGTTCTGGTTAGCTGAGCCTGCAAAGTTGCGCAGTTGGACTGACATAGAAATAGAATCAAATGCTGGTCGCGTTTATGCAAGGTGATGCCACGAAACCATTTCGTTTTCACCTGAGCTTTCATAAAAGTCAAATAGGTAAAAAAGGATAAGGTGTTTAGCGTTCATTGATTATTTCAAGATGCGCCATGCATTCTACTTCTGCTCAGAACCGTTAC